AGCAACATCCTCGGCAAAATCGCTAAACATGTCAACAATTTGCCAGGATTCACGATATAGCAAAAGTAGAGCTCGATTGACTTAAGCTAGGGTGCTCCATAAATGCAAACAAAGACATGGATAGATATAGCACCACAATGTTAACAAAACATCCTTACTGATCATCCTCAAAAGAGACACGGATCACTAGGAAACAACAGGAACATATGGCATAACAACAAAATCAGGACAAGGACTTAGTGAAATTCTAAGTCCCTGAAATCAACATTACCGATTATGCTACTTTGCAAGCTTGTGCTAGTCACTACAAATGTCACAAAAATACATCGTAAGCACCCTTGTAAAGATGGCATGTCATATAACAAAACACATGTAGAGCTCAGGATCATAGCATGCACACATTAATCATGGCAAAAATGACAAATAGCTATTTGCTGAAACAGATCTGACAAATTCCTCACATAGCACTCTTCCAACAACATTTCGGGCATCAAGATGAGCTCAAATGAAAATGATGCAATGAGATGAAATGATGTACTCGTCGAGGCGAACATTTTGATATGCTACACGCACAAATCGAAGCTACAGATGCGGAGTTATAGCATGCCAAAGTTTGTAAAAAAAATAGGTTCGGGGATGAAAAGTCAACCGTCTCGAATCTGGATCTGGATCGGATCCGGGCACTGTAGCTGCACTGTTCACCGAAGTCAAACAACGTCGCCGGAGAAGAAGGCCGGAGCTGGGGCGAGGTGGCCGGAGCTCCGGTGGGGGTCGGGGGCGGCGCCGGCGGTGGCCGGACGCGATGAGGCCGGCGGAGGTGCGGAGCGGCGCCGGCTCGGGTCGGTGGAGAGGCCGGGGTGGCGATCTGCATCGGGGGCGGCGAGGAGGCGAAGTCCGGCGAGGGGCAGCGCTCGCCGGCACGGTGGCGGAGCGGGCCGGTGCCAGAGTCGATGGCGGCGGAGGGAGAGGAGTCGGGCGGTGCGGGCATGGAACGGCGGCGGCGGACGATGGGCTCGCGGGGGCCCGACTTGGGCCTCCCAAGCCGGAGCGGTGGGAGGCGGCGGGGCCATGTGGCAGTTCCTGAGTGGCCGGGCGCGGCGGCGCGGGGCATGTCTGGCGGGAGCAGACACGTCCGGCGGCGGAGGAGACAAAATTTTAGGGTTAGGGTGGTTTTGGATGTGGGATTTTTAGGGAAGAGACCATTTTATAGGTAGGAGGAGCTAGGAGGCTTCAAATTGAGCACGGTTTTCGGCCACGCGATCGTGATCGAACACTCTAGATGATGGAAGGGTTTTTTGTGGATTTTGGATCAAATTGGAAGAGTGTTGGGCTGCAACACAAACGAGGCCTTCTCGGTCCCTCGGTTAACCGTTGGAGTATCAAACGAAGTCCAAATGGCACGAAACTTGACAGGCGGTCTACCAGTAGTAAACCAAGGCCGCATGGCAAGTCTTGGTCCAATCCGGAAATGTTTAACCCCCACACACGAAAAGAGATAGAAAGGACCACCGGAGGAGATAGGAGCGCCGGAATGCAAAACGGACAACGGGGAAAATGCTCGGATGCATGAGACGAACACGTATCCAAATGCAATGTACATAATGACATGATATGAGATGCATGACAAAGACAACAACACACGAAGACAAAAACCCGACACCGAGGAAAATAAAATAACTTAGTGGCGGAAACGACAAGAGTTAGAGTACAGATAAGGTAAATTACATCTGGGGTGTTACACCGTGGGTCGGCATCGTTGTTGCACCACCTCACCATCCGTCTCTGGGACATTATTCTAAGCCCACTCCTCCTCTCACGCACCTTCCAAGTGTCGGGTAGCCACTCCCACACGAACTCCAACCGCAGCCTTGCCTCCACCGGCCACGGCACGATTGGCTGCATCATCTCTGGCTCTGGCTCATTCCTAGCTCGCTTGTGTCGTCGATGACGGCTTAGGCTCAAACATGGGTCGCCTACATCATCGCGATTTCTGTCTTGGTGCAGTGCCACTATGGAGATGATATCAAGAGGAGAAATAAATGAGTGACAAGACAAGGAAAAGAGATGAGAGAGAGAGAGGTAGAGGTCAAATCAGAAAACATTATGAGATGACTATAAGATATGTGGCTGTTTTTTCAAGAAAAAAACACAGTTGAATGTGATTTAGATATAGTGCAGTCATTCTTTTCGTTTTTTCCTTTGCTTCTGCATACACTCACCAACGCCCTTATTAATACTAAGAAGAAACAATTATTTTACTAAACTACCACATAAACAACAAGTGCACTTGTAGAAAGAAAGAAGTGTAAAAAGTGTAATTGCAAAATGTATGCCTAATAAATAAGAAGAAAACTAAAAAAACATATCGGCAACAAAAAAAACCTTGCAAATAGCGATTGTACAAAAAATGTGAACTTGCCAAACAAAAAAAGAGTGTAATGCACAAAGTACAATATGTTAAAAAGGTGACGTTGTACAGGCATGTAAATTTTCAAGTTCAAAGAAAAAAAATATCCATCACAAAAGAAGAGAAATTCATTTGAGAGATACAAAAGAATTCATGAGGGAACAGTGATAAAAAGCGCAACATCCTTATTCATGCATAATTATTTTTTGCCTGCCAAATGAATATTAGTTTGAACATTAAATTTTGAACTGTAACACTTGCCATGATCGAAAGTAAAAATTAACTTGTAGCGCAAAAAAATGCCAGTGATCTTTAATTTATTTTTGCCATCCGCATGATCTGGACCAAATGATTGCGGGGGCGTTCCCTGGGACCTCCTAACCTCCCAAATTATCATTTCTCTAAATTTTACATGTTAATATAACGTCACCTTTGTAACTATAAAAAATTAATACATTTGTAAACATGGTTTCTATGAAGTCCTCAGTATAATCTGGTTTCCACCAGATATTTTCTTTAGAAGCAGTGAGTACAAGGTTCAACTTCTCAGCCATGATGTTCTTTTCTCATAATAAAATAATGAGTTCAACATAGGAGGAGCTGTGCTCAAATTAAATAGGAGGTGGTGAGGCTCGAAAAAAGTCACCTAAGCATGACCGAAATAATTATTTCTTTTGATTCAAGCATGACAGGCATATTAGCTGTGCTAATTTAAATATGGTAGGCTTCCGTTCCCTACCATCTAGGACAACCCCTTTCGGTCTTTCTCCTGCCTTTTCAAGTTAAGAACTTTTGTGGTCTCATCTCAAACAAAATAACAACTTTTCGCCCTAAAAATGAACAACTTTTCATTGTCTAAGAAAAAATATTAACTACTTTTCCAAAAGCCATCTTCTGGAATAAAAATAAAAACGCCTTTTTCCAAAAGCCAAGATGAAAAAGTGTCCAAAAGGCAGGATGAAAAAGTGGTTTTGGATCTATGACGCACTCAAGCAAGAAAGATAGAATGAAATGGAAGCAATAAGCTATATCTTGAGGCGAGGCACATCGTCACCTTTGATTTTATAACCTTCCTTAGCGCCTGCGATTGGAGAACAAGGTACGGTGGCCTATCAAACTGACTGTTCGTGTCGCATGCAATCGGTGGCAATATTAAATCGACAAAAGTGGAGAAAGAAATGCAACACAAGAGATATGGGACCGGGTACGGGGAAGCCAAGTGGACCGGAGAGATAAATGGCGTATTTACTGGGTGATTAAGAAACAAATCTCAGCGTATCCTACATTATTTTCCTACTTTGAACCGTTTTTTAGGGAATACTTTGAACTGTTTCCAAGTGGGTTGGGTGGCTCTTGTTTTGTGTTTTCTTTGGAGATACACTATGGAACTATGGAACGAGCTGGCCATGGCTGTTGTTTTCTTTCAGTAAGGAAAATGGTCCAATTTTTACTGTCTCTTAGATTTGATACAAGGAACGAGACATCATAACATGGGTCTGCTACCAATGGTTTATCCAAAGTTGGGAAATTACCTTGCAAACATTATTTATTTTCTTTGAAGAATTTCTAGTATTGAAGAAATTAACTTATGAGGTTAGCTTTTTGACGAAAACCCATCATGTTTGGATGTTGTGAAATTGATTACGAGTACTGATGATGACTGAACAGCTCATACAATGATGGTGCAAGAAATTAGATCACACCTTCAGAAAGGTAGGGAATTTTTAGTCAAGCATGTTAGGCGCGAACAAAACTCAGTTAGTCATTTTTAGCAAATTTTGGTAGAATAAAGAAATGCACTGTCGTGTGGCTTCGCTCAGGACCAGGCGAGGTGCCTGATCTTTGTAATGCAGACTTGGCCGCCGCTTGATTAATAAATTCTCTTTCTCCTCGCAAAAAGAAGTCCCGTGAGTAAGACCCCGTGCATTAATTTCTCCTAAAACATTCATTCCTTTTGTCATCCCTCCTCACCCCACACCGCCTTCCGTTTTGCCGATTTTTTCCAACGGTTTTACTTGAAAATCACCTCACTTATTGGCTTACCAAATTTACTTTGGTAAATCAATAAGTACTGATTTAATTAGCAGCTAAGTCCATTTTCGGACATATACATTCATACTAAAACGACAGATAAATCACGGTGATTATGTACAAAATATTTGTGGCCTCATTGCATTGCACGTGCAATTATCTAGTGGGTTATCAGATAATGAGTAAAACACCTTTGATACCGGGAAAATTGATACACCTAACATGCGACTATGTGCATGTTACTTGTTATTAGGAAATAATCAAATAATGCACAAAGCACACAAGTTCCTTAACGTTGTTCATGCAGGGAAATGTCACACAGGCACAGCTAAACAAATTTAAGACTTTATTACAGCAAGATCGAACAGAGTTCTTTAAACTCACTGGTCCCGAAAGCAAATAACTTCACTGAAAAATATGAGTTGGAACATAACAGGATGCATTTCTTTACTCTCAAACAGTTAAAAGAAGACATGCAGAATATTTCCCATGTTCTAAAGGAAAGCTCGTTGGTTGCAACTTGTTGCCCAGCTGTCGCACTGAATTGCATCACGTAAAAGGATCAGTCATCATCATCCTCATGGTCGGCCAGATGCCACCGACCATCCTTGCCTTTCACCATACCTTTGTTCTGAACCACCCACCAAGACGGTGGGATCGAATACTCCTTCTTCAGTGCATCTTCGTGTTTATTCACCAACGCGATGTCCCGATCAACCTCCAACTCAAACCCTCCGTTGCTCCCTTGCGTCCCGGCAACCCCATGCATGTAACACTCCATATCATGCCATGTTAAGGGGTTCCCAGGGCTCTTGATGTAGGGTGATTCCCCTGTGTCGATCATGAGCTCCGTGCCGGCGTCGCTGTATCCCAGCTTTGGCCAGTTTGGGACCACGTCAGGGGAGTTCCGGACACGGAGCAACCTCAGATCTTCTGCACTGTCAAATGCTTTCTGGAAGTCGGAGTTGCCCACTCTGGGGCTACCAAACACGAAGGCCGATACCGGGCAGGTCTTGTTGTAGCCGTTGGAGACAATGTCGGTAGCACTAATGGTTGCAAGAGCGGCCCCAAGGCTGTGACCTGTTATGGTGATGCTGGTCTCCTCTTGCTTGTACAGATCCTGCAGCCTTTCGACTTCATCCAACACCTGATGCAAGCTTGTTAAATAGTTTGACCGAAGGCCACGTCAAATATGCATGACTAGTAAGAGGCACAATTCAACATCTACTTGATTAAATAAATACCATGGCCCCAGTAATCCAAACTGTCTTAAAGTGCACGTTGTGCTGTGCCATGATTGTCTTTATGCAAGCTAAACTTTAGATGGATAATAAGGGGAATCACTCCCCGCCTAAAAACAATCATGATGTTTCCGTAGTGCAGTAAGGCTGAACACGGAAACACCAACGACTCGCTGGTGTAAAACAGGAAGCAAGACTTGCTTTCCCGACAGACTAATATGCATGTCTTTTGTTTCCTTTTCTTTTGCTTCACTTCAAATGGAAGAAAACTGAAACTTCAAGCACATGCATCATTACAAACTATACACTGATTAGATCATGGGGTTTAACACGCACAAAGATCAACTATATCCTAATTTAGAGGTTTGTGCTTCAGAACATGAGGCAATCTATAATACTGATTCTGGTGATATACTAATGCTGAATCAAGAATAACAAGAATTACCTGATATCGTGCACTCTGTTTATTGTACCGAGACCCTGGGTCAGTACTCGTGTAGACGGACAACCATCCTCCATGAACACGGGGGTCATGGGCACTGCCTGGTCGTACTATTTCTGAAGCAGGCACCAAGGAAATATCAAGGTCATCCATCCACTCTAGCACCCGTATTGTCCCACGCCATGCCACCACCACATCCCGCCTCCCGAGCACTTCCTTACCCTCGTCGGTGGCCACAGCAACAAACCCCATCCAATTTGATTGCTTGCTCCATGCGGCCTTTGACAGCGGCTTTATCATGAAATCATCCGGCAAGCTCACCGTACACATTGCATATATAAACTTCGTAATCTCATATAGATTAGGGTTTGATACATCTACCCTGCTGAGGAAGTCCTTGCGTCTGAAGAGGCAAGACCCAGCGTACCTTGACCTTCTCTCTCTGTTGAGCCCAGTGTATGCTGCCTGTGAGAGCTCACCATAGTTGATGATATTCTTCCGGAGGTCGACGTCAAGAGGATCAAGTAGCCCCTTCCAGTAATTCGCACCGTTGAGTTCTCTCCATCTTCTGGCGATATTTCCAAACCCTCTTAGAGAACTCATATTTGACAGGAAATGCTTCTGTTTGTGTTGCTTACAAGAGCCCACAACTTAAACCTTTTGTATATATATAGGACATGCTAGACTGCTGGCTTCCCCATGAAACCTGCAGGCTGCAGTTTGATATGCGTGTTGAAGATGAGCTCCCCTGTCACTCTCTAACCCTACCAAATCTCTCACCCACCTGGCAACCATTCATCCTGTATTTCAAAGCATAGAGAAGCTTGCAAGGATCAACTAAGGACCCAAAGATAATTCTATCATTCTATTCATACCAACTGGCACTAGCCCGAACAAGTAGGGAAGACAAATAACGTGCAACACACCATATCTTTGTGTGGTTCAAAAGAGAGGGGTTCACCAATCATCATTTGGGACCAGCAATGAACAGTGTCTTCTGCCCAAAATTTTACTCTGACCAATAACACCAGTGATTGTGTACACAATCAGTCTGCAAGACATTTTCCAAACGAAATGCATCCATCAAATCATGCCAACTAACCAAAAGATTCGATATTAAAACCCGTACTACCCATGATTAATAAATATATATATGATACCTAGTTCCTTTACAGAAGAATTACAGATAGTGACACTGGCCATACAATAATTGAAACCCTCTTCCCCTACTGTTTTTCAGTTTAAAAAGTATATCATTCCACAGTGTTAGGTACGATCATATCATGAAAACGTAAAGAAATTATACTCTACCATGCTGCATCACTTTCGTTGGATCACTCAAACTATTGCTGCATCACTTTCGTTGGATCACTCAAACTAGTCCAAAGAAAAAAATTGGGTAGCTTGTTAAATACCTCAGTCATTCTTCTGTGCAGAAGGAAGTGGCGTCAAATCATTGAACTGAGGTTGACCATAAGGATATCCTGTTGAAGGACCTGTCTCACAAGAGCATGTCTAAGCCCAGCAGTTTCAGTATACAGATACAGGTGACAACATCCAATCCAAAGAAATCAATCTTTTGCAGTTTCGGTGAAACCGGAGAAGCAGCTCTTTTAGGACTTGCAGGGCATTGGAATGAAAGTGTACATACTAAATGCAGATTATCAGACAAGCCCAAGAAAAAGGCATGCACACATGGGTCTGCCAAAGCATGAAGCGGTCGATTTCACAACAGTGGAGAGATATGCACAATAGTGTGTTTAGTGGCCCATTTTGATCTTCTCCCGGATAAAATGGAATAAACAAGTGCAACTAAATGTTCGATCGCTCTGTGAGGGGCTATGGTTACACTCATGTGAAAGCAATATGCACCACAGTATGATGCCATAACTCATAAGATAATATCATGAGTTCTTCTCTAACTAGTCAACAAAAAATGCTATGTTCAAGTGGATCCATGGTACATTGTATGAATACTGTAAATAAGAAGGCCACAGAGTCATGTTGACCCTGAATAATAGCAGCACTATGTGGCAATCTTCCATATCCAAGAATTGTTTCATCCTAAGTGACCAGACTTATTGCAAAATTTCCAAGCAGCCCTAAAATTGAATCCATCACCTCACTATTATGCCAAAATAAACTTTATGACTCGTATCAGCTTCTGAGTTCACATAGATCCATTTATCAAAGAAATGTACTTTAAGTGAAAGACCCAATCGATGAATCCATGTGAGCCAAACTGCCCAATAAGGACAATAGGAAAGAGAATGGTGTAGATCTAAGATCACCAGAAATCCCCACAAGAGCACAACCCATCTTCAAACCGGTGGAATCGACGGTTATCCCTGAGAACCACAACTCTTCCTGTACACTTACTGAGGTACTTAACTGCATTGTGACAATCATCACACACTCTTAAGTTCTTCATAACTCGGATTGGCACACCTTCCGGAACAATCAAGAGCCCTAACCCTATTGCTAGCCTTTCGCTGTGATACCCCAGTGATGCGCACTTCTCATCTCTGTCCACATCCTTAACTACTGCACTAGTGTCTGCCACATAACCAGCTGCCGCCATTTTCTTACCAACTTTCTCCAGCACATTATAAATTTCGCTGCTTCTTGGATGTCTCCTGCAGTTTGAAACAAAGGTATGCACCTCTCCTGCAGCCTCAAGCCAGCTAAGACCAGTCTCTTTCCGTATACCTGCATCACGCATTGCCTTCCTTGCAAGTGCTGCATCGACATGCCTTCCTGCAGCTGCATACGTGCTTGACAAGAGCATGTGTGCACCAGAGCTGCGAGACCCTGTCTCAAACAGTCTCTTTGCAGCAATTGCCGCAGTGTCTGCATCCTTGAACATGCGACATGCCATTAGGAGTGCACCCCAAACAGAATCAGGTGGTTCCATGGGCATTGACTCAATAAGGTCCAGTGCTTCAGTTATACGTCCTACACGACCAAGTAGGTCAACCATTGCAGCATAATGTTCAACCTGCGGTTCAATTCTATATTCTTTCATGAGGGAAAAATATCGCTTCCCCTCATCGACAAGACCAGCGTGGCTACATGCTGTGAGTAAACACAGGAAGGTAATGAAGTTAGGACGGAACCCGGCATTCTGCATCTTTGTGAAACGTTCAAATGCTGTGGAAGTATGGCCATGCTGTGCAGATGCAATGAGCACTGCGTTCCAAATCCCAAGGTTTCTCTCAGGTGCTGCACTAAACACCTGGTAAGCACAATCCACAAGGCCACACTTGGAGTAGAGAGAAACAAGCGAGCTGCCCACAAACGGTGATGCATCAAGTGCTGTCTTTATAGACCGGGCATGCACCTGTGCCCCAAGCTCAAAGAGTGTGGCTGCAGCACACACACGGACAATGCACGAAACTGTGAAGTCATTGACCTGCACAGCCTCCTCCAGTGCCGAGCGGAAGATGCAGAGTGCTGCAGGGTGCATCCCAGCATCCGCGTAGCCACCAATGAGGGCAGACCACGAGACCACATTCCGCTCCGGCATTTCGTCGAACACCCGGCGGGCGTCCGCAAGGTTCCCGCACTTAGCATACATGTCAAGAACCGCCGACCCCACGAACACGTCGCCCGCGAACGGCGTCTTGGAGGCGAGGCCATGGAGAGCATGCGGGGCAAGCGGAGGGCGCGAGGAGTCTGCGGCAGCTGCGACGGCCTTGGCGGCGGGGGGGATGGAGCGGTCGGTGGCGGGGACCCCGGCCGCGAGCATGCGGCGGAAGGCGTCAAAGGCTGCCTCCGGGAGGCCGTTCTGGGCGAAGGAGGATATGAGGGAGGACCATGCGGCGGGGGAGGGGGCAGCGGGGAGGTCGAGGAAGGCGCGGAGGGAAAGCTCGGGGAGCGAGCAGCGGGCGTAGAAGGTGAGGAGGTGGTGGGCGAGCAGCGCGTGCGAGGAGGCGACGGCGGGGAGATGGCCGCCCTTGAGAAGGTGGCCATGGAGCTGCTGGCCCTTGGGAAGCGCGCGGGCGGCTGAGAGCGCGACTAGGAGGTCGGCCAGCGTGCGCGCGCAGGCGGGAGCCACGGCGAGCGGCGGCAACGGCGGGGTCATATGGCTCGAGTTCGCGACTTAACTGCCGCCGCTTGAACTTTTTGTGTCTACGTACTAGGCTGCGTGGACGGAAAGGGTAGTGCTGGCATGACGCCGGCATCTTTTTCTTTCGAGGGACGGCATTGCCATTGTTTACAAAAAATGTAAAGACTATTTATTTAGAGGGGGAATAAGTTTAACTGTTTAAGTCCCTCTGTTTTTATTTACTGCTCTTATTAGCTTGACCTGAATCAAACTTTATAAAGCTTGACTAAGTTTATCAAAAATAATCTCAACTTTCACAAAAGAAATACACTCCCTCTATAGACAAATATAATACCATTTAGATCGCTATAGTATTATAATACCACATATGTCTATACGTTGCAACTAGAAAAATAATTAACATGTCCGTAGTAGCAATGTGGCATAACAATATTCGAACGGTGCCACCCAACAATGGCAGCAAGACGCACGCTACCATAAATGCATATAAATCATACATTAAAAATCATCACGTATGGTATTTTTGGTATGATTTTTATATAACTGCTTTGTTATTTAAAAGGTCTAATTTTCAAATCCTATATACCAAGGCATTATTTGGAAGTTGGTGCATTTTTTGGAATTCACACTGAGTCATAAAGAAATCTTGCTAAGTGTGTTTTAGTCCCTCTCACCTCTTCCAAATCCACTCTCGTGTCGTGCCCTCTTACCAAGTATTATTCTATTGTGTTATTAGTCCAAACGCTTGTGTCATTACTATTTGTCTTGCAGGAATCTATGCCGTGCACGGTCACCTCTTTAGGTATCTAAGAGCAATTTCAACGGGCCGACCCAAACGGACAGCGCATTTGTCCGTCTTTTGTCCATTTGGGTCGGCCGCTCGCCCGGCGTCCGTCCTGTTTTACATTTGGGTCGGCAGTGCGCCTAACGCGTCGACCCATTTTCATGTCCGCACTCATTTTTCTAAAAAGAGCTGCGGCCATGTCTCATGCCGGCACCATGCCAGCGCCGGCATACATTGCCGGCTTCAAAAAATATCAGCACACAGTTCATGCTGGCGCACTCGCCAGCGGCCGGCAGACATGCTAGCACATAAAAGGGGTGAGACTTGAGTTCGATCACGCCACCCGTGGTCATGCCAGCACACAAGCCGGCATACAAAAAAGGAAGGTGCTCGCGGCCACGAGATCACTCGTCGGTGAACTTGAGCATGTCGGCCTGCATCTTCTCGAACCACGGCCTCTTTCTTGGCGACACGGTGTTGAGATCCACCTTCATGATCTCCACCTCGGTCATCATGCTCGCGAGAGCCACTTCTTTCGCCTTGGTCTTGGTCTTGGCGTTGGCGGCCTCGATCTCGAGCATCTTGGCTTGCTTCTCCGCCTCCATCTCAAGCATCTTGGCTTGCTTCTCCGCGTTCATCTCAAGCCTCCTCCTTTGGATCTCCATGAAGGCGTTCATTTGCTGCTCTTTGAAACGCCGGCGCTCCTTCTCCATTGAGTCCTTCTTGTTCATCATGCCCTCCATGCTTGCGATCAAGGCGTTCGATGCCGCGTCCCGATTGTCCTCATTCTTGGAGTTGGTCTTCCCCCGTGGCTGTGCCGGCTCGCCGTCCCCAACCTCCTCCATGGCTTTCTTCCCCCCACGCGACTTGAGGGCGGCATATTGCGCCTTGAACTTCTCCTCGTCTTTGATGACCCTGAAGCAATGGGAGAGGTTGAAGCACTTGTCGTTGTGTTGGACCTTGAATGCCTACAAATATTTCCATGCAAGCATATTGGCAAATGGTATGCAAATGAACCCGCAAGCATAAACTTGATGACACAAACGAGGGTGGCTTGCTAGCATACCATGTCTTGCATGCCGATGCCGCTCACAAGGTGGGCCTTGACGCTCTCAATAGTGGCACAGAACTTGTTGCACTCTTGTTGGATCACCCTCCATCACTTCGAAATGAACACCCACCCGCGCGTGCTCATAATTTGGTAAGGAGGAAACTTCTTGCGCTCATGAAACTCCCAGTGGACACGAATCCAAAAAGTTGAATGTTTTTGTTCGGCGCCCATCTTGGGGTCTTGTCCAATGTCTCGCCAACACTCGCAAAGAAGCTTGTCCTCGGCCGCCGTGTATGCCTTCGTGCGGGCCCGGGGAGAGGAGTAGGCGCGCGTGCGTCCGTCTCATGTCCACGCCGATGCAAATCCGACTCAAAATGGGCCGGGAATGGGTCGGCATATGGACGCGAAGTGAACGCGCGTCCGTTTGGGTCAGCGCGTTGGGCCGCCTTTTGTGCCCGCGCCGACCCAAACGGACACCAGCAGACGAAATGGGTCGCCCCGTTGGAGTTGCTCTAGTTCCTAGGTATTAATTTCTCCTTCATTTTTATGCGCACTTGATGGGTGAGGCACACACACTTCATCCTTTTAGTTCTTATTCTTGAGGCGCCTTGTTTGTCTTCAACACAATAATCTGTATAATTCTATATAAAATGGCGAGATGGTATGATGCATCTCCATCGTATCTACTTTTTCCAAACACTTTCGACCTTGTTTTGGAATCTAACTTGCATGATTTGAACGGAACTAACCTGGACTGACACTGTTTTCAGCAGAATTGCCATGGTGTTATTTTTGTGCGAAAACAAAAGTTCTCGGAATGACCTGAAACTTCACGGAGAATATTTTTGGAATATATAAAAATACTGGCGAAAGAATCAACACCATGGGGCCCACACCCTGTCCATGAGGGTGGGGGCGCGCCCACCCCCTTGGGGCGCACCCCCTGTCTCATGGGCCCCTTGATGCTCCACCGACCTCAACTCCAACTCTATATATTCACGTTCGGGGAGAAAAAAAATCAGAGAGAAGGATTCATCGTGTTTTACGATACGGAGCCATCGCCAAGCCCTAATCTCTCTTGGGAGGGCTGATCTGGAGTCCATTCGGGGCTCCGGAGAGGGGAATCTATCGCCATCATCATTATCAACCTTCCTCCATCACCAATTTCATGATGCTCACCGCCGTGCGTGAGTAATTCCATCATAGGCTTGCTGGACGGTGATGGGTTGGATGATATTTATCATGTAATCGAGTTAGTTTTGTTAGGGTTTGATCCCTAGTATCCATTATGTTCTGAGATTGATGTTGCTATGACTTTGCTATGCTTAATGCTTGTCACTAGGGCCCGAGTGCCATGATTTCAAATCTGAACCTATTATGTTTCCATGAATATATGTGAGTTCTTCATCCTATTTTGCAAGTCAATAGTCACCTATTATGTGTTATGATCCGTTAACCCCGAAGTGACAATAGTCGGGACAATTACTGGTGATGACTATAGTTTGAGGAGTTCATGTACTCACTAGGTGTTAATGCTTAGTTCCGGTACTCTATTAAAAGGAGGCCTTAATATCCCTTAGTTTCCGATAGGACCCCGCTGCTACGGGAGGGTAGGACAAAAATGTCATGCAAGTTCTTTTCCATAAGCATGTATGACTATATTCGGAATACATGCCTACATTACATTGATGAACTGGAGCTAGTTCTGTTTCACCCTATGTTATAACTGTTACATGAGGAATCGCATCCAACATAATTATCCATCACTGACCCATTGCCTATGAGCTTTTCAAATATTGATCTTTGCTTAGTTACTTTTCCGTTGCCACCGTTACAATCACTACAAAAACTATTACTATTACCTTTGCCACCATTACCGTTACTTCCATATTACTTTGCTACTAAATACTTTGCTGCAGATATTAAGTCTTTCAGGTGCGGTTGAATTGACAACTCAACTGTTAATACTTGAGAATATTCTTTGGCTCCCCTTGTGTCGAATCAATAAATTTGAGTTGAATACTCTACCCTCGAAAATTGTTGCGATCCCCTATACTTGTGGGTTATCAAGACTATTTTCTGGCGCCGTTGCCGGGGAGCATAGCTCTATTCTTTGAGTCACTTGGGATTTATATCTGTTTATCACTATGAGGAACTTGAAAGATGAAAGAACCAAGATTTTCCCCTCAACTACGAGGGGAGGTAAGGAACTGCCATCTAGCTCTACACTTGACTCACCTTCTGTTTTGAGTAAACTTACGACACCTACACCTGCTATTTATTCTGATATGTCGCATGTTATTGATGATGTCACTTCTGCTTTACATGATAATTATGATGAAACTACTTCTATGCTTGATAATACTGTGCCATTAGGTGAATTTCTTGATGAACAACTTGCTAGGGTTAGAGAGAATAAAATTATTGAAACTGATAATATTGATGAAAGTGATGATGAAGATTCTCTCCCTAGATATGAATTGCATGTTGTGCCTGAGGGTTATGTTATGGATGAAGAAACCGCTAGAGACTTTTTAGCTTGCAATGATAGATATGATCTTAAGAAACTGTTAGCTAAGCTGAAAGAAAAATCTTTGAATGCTAGAATGAAATATGACCCTG